GTTTTACTCCTCCACCATCTTGAAGGTCATCAATTCTTATGTAGAGCTTTGTGGGAGGTTCTACTGACTCACCAGTTACAGTAAAGTCATGTCCTTCAAAGTCACTGAAGTAGGACAAAAGCAAACAAAATGAACAGAAAAGAAACGAATGACTTCTTGAATTGGTTTGGATCCATTACTAAATTTAAATGTACAGTTATGTAGTCTGGCACATAATCTGAAATTGTGGTATAAAGGCTAATTTTTGCCAACTTGAGTTTGTGCCACCCTTAATCCATTGACCTAAAATGCACTTTTAGTAGGCTATTGATTTATGAAACTTTGGCATGGGTAGGAAAACCATTTTAAAAATCAGAATTGCAGCAGAAAAGTTATAAAGCATATTTCAAAACAAATTTTATTACATTATAAAGATTTTCTGGATGAATATTCAGCTAAGCAGTAACTCTTGTACTCGGTAGGATGTGAAAATCTGTTACATCTTAATAACTAAAAAACAAAATTTGTCACTAGTGCAAGGTTGTTACATTTTTGCAATGTTTACACACACAACTTTGAGCTCAACTTTGAGCTTTGCTCCCCTAGCTCCTTCCCCCACCCACATGAGCTCAGGAAAATATACCTCTTTATTAACTAACTGCTAACTACTACACTTCCCTCTACACTAATATTATAGGTGATTTTCTCCATTCTGCTATGAACTCAAAATTTTCTTTTAAATAACCAGAGTCATTATTCAAATAATCTTTTTTTTTTTCAGGATTGGTGGGACCCTCTTTATGTTTAAATAGCGTCAAACTCATTTTCAAATGAATGGGAGCATCTTGTGTAAGAAAATTGGTATCACTTCAGATTACCAAAAAGAGAACCACATTCAAGTTTGAAGGTTTAATTTGAAGGAAATTTACCTTTGCCTTGGCCAATGGAATAAACACATAAAGGGCTTGTATGTTTAGTTGCCAATTCTGAAGACCAGAGATTATTTCCAGTATTTTGTATGTCCTTAATTGTTTTTATAAACACCAGTGGGAGAGAAATCTGAAATTTAAAATACTTCAAAGGGACGCCCATTCATTTGCTTATTTTAAAACAGTATATGCTAGCCTTAAATGGCCATTAAGTTGTGTTGTCGTTCTCTGTTTTTGTGAAGGTTTACCAGGCATATTATAAGGATCAAATACAGGATGAACTACAATCAGAAACACAATATTCATTCATTTAACTCTGGTACAGTAGAGCAAATTCAGGGTGACTCGAGGGACACAATGTCTTGTAAAACATATGTACTTAATATAAGGGTCATAAAACTTATTAAATTAAAACCTAGGTTAAAAATAGGAAGAAAATTTATGCTGCTGTCTAAAATAGCAATAATTTCCCTTTGGCCTTTCCCTTTCCAAGTAATATGGATTCTTTTCAGGAGGAAAAAAAAAGCCAACTTATGAATTCTTCATTTTGTAGGGCCAAATGCAAATCTCTTTTAACTGTACCATGCATTTTAATGGGCAAGTGATATGATAGAAAATAGAGGAACAAGAAGATAGGATGTTAAACCTTGAAAAGTGTACCTGTGTCTAGGTTTCAAGGAGGCTTTGTTCCTGAGCCTGAACAACAAGCCCCCTTAGTGTTAGCTGGTGTCTAGGGAAAGGAGCTTAAGGGATATGAAGACAATAGAAACAATGTCTTTTAAATAGTTGATCTGGCTATGGGGCAGCAGTGCCGTGAAAAGGGGGCACAGGACATAGAATTGCTGTTCATTCAGGGCACAGCAAAATGTCTCTGGACAAAACCTATTTCTGTTCAAACAAAGTTTGGGGTGTACAAAATCCATGGAAACCAGAGAATTTGAAGTCAAGATTTTTTTAAATTGAAGTGTAGTTCATTTACAATATCATGTTAGTTTCAGGTGTACAGCAGTGGTTCAGTTATATATATATATATATATATATATATATATATATATATATATATTTATATACATAAATTCTTTTTCAGATTCTTTTCCCTTATAGGTTATTACAAAATACTGAATACAGTTCCCTGTGCTATACAGTAGGTCCTTGCTGGTTCTCTGTTTTATATATAGGAGTGTGTATATATTAATCCGAACCTCCTAATTTATCCCTCCCCTCCCCCTTTCCCCTTTGGTAACTGTAAGTTTGTTTTCTATGTCTGTGAATCTCTTTCTGTTTTGGGAGTAAGTTCATTTGTATATTTTTTTTTACATTTTTTTGATTCCACCTATAAGCGATATCATACGATATTGGTCTTTCTCTGACTTACACTTAGTATCTTAGTATGATAATCTCTAGGTCCATGCATGTTGCTGCAAATGGCATCATTTCATTCTTTTTTATGGCTGAGTAATAGTCCATTGTATATACGTACCACATCTTCTTTAACCATTCATCTGTCGATGGACATTTAGGTTGCTTGCATGTTGAAGTCAAGATTGACCTCTATTTGTGCCTCACTCTGCTGCCCATGGGCCACGCTGGGGTAGAAATTGATACATTACCCTGACAAACAACTTCAAGGGTTTGGGACTGAGGGTGGTCTCAACTTTTTAAGCACTTGTACCCCTTTTTAATCCAGCCAGTGAAACTATGTTTGAGTTTATCTTCAACATGACAGCCATTTTCCTAGCTGGTGCTCCTTGGTATAGATAGCATTTTAGGAATTTGAAACCAAAATAAATATCAATTTCCTTCTACTATACTCACACAGGGATCTGTTGAGAATTTTATCTTCATACAAAAGTCTTAAGGCTGTTGAGAAGGAGCTATGCTTGGTCATTTACCTGTTCACTCTTAAACCCATTCCTGCCCTTTCCTTGCTATTTTGTATTTTAGGGGGCTTAGCCCTGCAAAGCACATTGCCATCTGCAATCTCCCTTCTACAGAGGGAGATTCTGAGCAAGGAGGAGGGGAGACTGGGAAATCCCAACCCCTCAACCTTCAGCCTGCTTTGGAGGTGGTTCTGGCAATGGCAGCATCTCCTCTGAGGTCCCAGAGCCTGCCCCCCTTCCCTTTGTCCTGTAGGTCTAGGGGTGGCAGTGGCTTCCTGCTACTGCCAAACTCTTGGTGGTCTCCAGGTAGCCTTTCAGTTCTTCCAATGCTTTTGTAACTAGGTCCCTAGTTTATATCCCTCTGTTGAAGTACCTGGTGGTGATTCTATTTTCCTGACTCAACCACAGCCAATGGCTTTTTCATTTGTAGTTATTGGTTCAAAAGATAAGAGATTCTCTTTGAAGTCTTCAGGCCCTTTTTTGGCCAGTGGGTAGGCTGCTGGGTCACAGCAGTCATTTTGGCAACTGGCACTCTCTTTGGTAAAGTGGAACAAACACGTTCAAAGGCAAAGTGAGGAAGTAAGAACCATGTAAGGGCCTTATAGGAAGTATATTTTAGGGGTATAAGAGAAGGCACATTGAAGAGGCCACGTGGACATGCTGTTGACCTTGGCTAACTCCCCTTAGCTGGATAGCACTGAAAACGGAGGCTTCCTATGGCCCTTGAAAAAAACTCTCCGAAAACCCCATAATACATTTTTCTTTTGTCCTTGAAGTCTTTTTTTTTTTTTCAAATTTTGCAAGTAACTACAGTGCTAGTGTAAAAATAGCCTTGTTTGAACTAAGATGAACAATACATACATGTACACTCAGAGGTCCAACTAACTCCAATCAGTAGAGGAACCCTCAAAATCATACACCAGTTTCTCTCTCTTTTTCCCCTCTTTCTGTATGTGATCACATTCCCTAACAAAATTAAAAATTGGTTTCCATGATACAACTTCATAGGCTGTTGTCTGGAATGAGTTTGCCCGAAAGAGTTCTAAATATTGGGGGGATAAAAATACCCAAACCCCAAACAAAACAGCTTTGCCATTCAAAATTCCATCTTGCAGTCTGACATTTGCAGAGACCTTGGGAATATAGCATGTGGGGACTTTGATCCTGTTTCTCCAGTGGCAGCTGGGCCTGGTCCAAGCAGCCCTGCTGCTAACATTGTCATTGGGTGAGATGAGTGGAGCTGGAGGGGACATTATTTTTGCTTTTAGCCTCAGAGGCTTTGGGCATCCATTCACCATTCAAGAAATTCATACTGGCTTCAGCCATATTTTCATCAGGCTCTTAGTAAGGCTTGGGAAAGCTTGAAAACAGAATGCTCATTTTTTTGGAAGTCTTTCTTTAAACCCACTAGTTTTATGAAATTTAAGCACATTATTCATTGTGTAATTATAGATGAAATATTAGAGAAGTGGACTAATTATACACAGTGCACTCAAGCCCAATTAAACTAGCCTCTGTGGTGAACGTAAGGGTATTCTCTCTTTCACTAATAAGAAATACTTTCTGAACAACAGAGAATAAAATCGTTAAATTGGATATGCTGTAGAGATTATAAATATCCTATTAGCATATAAGATGAAGATTAACCTTATTTAATCACTGCACACCAGATCATCAAAAGTCATATTGAACTCTGGTAATGTTGCTGTATCCATTCTGCAAAATAATAATAAAAACCCCACTATTAATAAAAATAGCTCACTAGATGCTATTCTCATGTGCTAAATTAAACTGTTGGAGAAACTCAAGTATTCTCGTAGCTGCTTAACAAAATAGCAAAACTACTTTTACCTATTCGTTGTTCTATGATGGCTGGTTCAGATTTATGTCATCCTAGTGGCTGGGAAAAGTGTGTCTCCCTGGGCGGGCAAATGAGCCTACTGCAAAATAAGTAAAATATACAGTTCATTCCAGCTAGCACCACAAGTGACCTTTTGAAAATGTAAATTAAGTGATTGCACACACCAGGGGTGTGTTGAAAATGAAAATGTACGTGCTTGAGACATAGTGCCACCACCGCTTTGGGTATTAATTGGCAGGCTCTGAATCCAGGAATATCTGTGTTTTAATCGGAGTCACAGGAAATTCCACTTGAAGATACTCACGAGCCTTGTTTTTGTAATAAATCATCAGGGCTGGGCAGAGCAACCTCTGGAGTTTAGCAAGAACAAGGGGTTATTCAAATTCAAGTTATAATATTAAAAATATTGGTTATGAGAAGCAACAAGAAATCAGCAAAGGTGAAGGAAGCAAATTTATGTATCACTTTCATGGACTGTGATCTTTCACAGCTGAAGGACAGAAGTCAGTGAAGAGGGGTAGGTGGCTAATGAACAGACCTTTGCTGGGATTGAGGGAAGGGGCTGAAGCCAATCTCTCTTCCTCTTTCTTCCCTCCTCCCTCCCTCCCTCCCTCCCTCCCTCCCTTCCTTTCTTCTTTCCTTCCAGTTCTTGTTTATAGTCCTTCTAAGATTTGATAGCTGTTTTTCTTTCATTGCAAAAATCTTCAGGAAACTGGAATATGAACACATTTATAAACATTGAGAATGATTGTGGCCATTACAACTTCATGTTCCTAATTAAACGCATTTATTTTTAAAACAATCAACATGTACACCTTCTCTTGGGTGGAACCCTTCCTCTTACTTTACTTAGGTGTCTTGCCCAAGAAAACAAGTTCAGTCCAAATTTCTATGAAAACTCAGATGGAAAGAAACTGAGAATAAACTGGAGGTAACAGGTCTGGAGGGGGCAAGGCAGTGCACGCTGTCCCAGACTTATGGAAATAAAATGTGATTTGATTGCATTATGTTTCAGGATGCTATTGCAAAGCAAGCGAAGTGTATGTGCAAGAGAATTATAGTAACTTCTTTTGCATCCTGGGACCAAAGCTAGCCAAGCCAATGAGCCTTTCTTTCAGTTTAATGCCATCCACTGTTTGGGTTTCTCTCCAGGTTTCTTTAAGGCCACTGGCACAATAAAAATATATATATATATTCAGAAAATCTTCTGTGGCTTTTTTATGCTATGGAGAGGGCAACATGAAGTGAGTACAGTGTTAATAATAACGGCTATTTTTGCCCTTTTGGACAAACCAACAATCAAAGAGTTTCAGCTTTTATTTTTGTTCTCCTTAAACCCAATTAAAAGTTACTTTGCCCTGTAGGGCCATTTTTACAATTTATTTGAAGTGCTGGGCAACTAAAGAAAATCCTATTTCTTCAGATTTTTGATGAGATTATGGATTTGCCATGCCAATATCACTTTAAGTAGACTTTTTTATTTTCCCCAGGTCTAGCTTGCATAGAGCAATTTAGCCTGGGCTCCGAATCGTTGTATTATGGGTAAATGGTTTGGTTGTGACACCGGATCATTCTGACTTCAGAAAAGCAGTAGACAGTGTCTAGAAGAAAAAAAAGGTCTTTATTGAGACGATCAAAAGGGACATAAAGGCAAAAACTGACTTTCACTGAAACAGGTCTGGGGACCAGGCCTCCAGTGTCCTTATTGTAATTCATTGCTTTTTTCTAGGCCCCATGATAGAATTCTTCCATAACAGACAGAGGACTTTGTGAAATTGTAAATGAGTATGACTTCAAGCTCTCTGTGGAAATATATTCTCCCCCCTATAGCCCATACATTATTTCTGCTTAGTTATGGTGGCTCACATTTCCCGTAAGTATCAGAGAGAACTTAATTCAACTCACACCGCATCACTTTAAAACTGTGCAGCTCTCTTAATCAACCTTTGTATCAGACACAAATGTGCAGTATGACCTAATTTGAAAATGTCTCAAAGTGCTGACTCAAACTGTTAGTGAATAAAGGCTAGTCATTACCATTATGACACTAATGTGATGCAAAATAAAATTGAGTTGCATCAGCTGAACATTAGTTTGCAAAAATATTAGTGATTGAAGCCATTTTCTGTTCATATTTTATTTATGCTTATATATATGTATATGTGTACATATATTTATTTATTTGAAACAGCCTTGTGACAAAATTTTTAAGTGCGGAAGAAGTTCCTTTTTTTTCTTTTTAACATCTTTATAGGAGTATAATTGCTTTACAATGGTGTGTTAGTTTCTACTTTATAAAAAAGTGAATCAGCTATACATATACATATATCCCCGTATCTCCTCTTTCTTGCGTCTCCCTCCCAAGTTCCATTTTTAACACTGACAAAGCCACAAGATTAAAAGTAGATCATATGTACATCATGGTCCCCCTGCTATAAGATGAAAACATATTGTTGCTGAATTCTTATTAGAATATTTATACACATCTAAGCAATAACATGAAAATTCTCCCCTTCCCCTGTACTTTGGTGGCAGTTTCCAAGATTTTTCAACAGCCCTTGTACTACTTACTATTTTATATCACTCACAAATTCTCTGACCTTTGTCTTTTTGAATAAGAAGGATTTGGAATTTCTTTCTTTCCTTACTTGACAAAAAAAAATTTTTTTTGACATAGAAATATGTACTCAATATACGTTGGTGATATTACATTTGAACAAAAGAAAGTAGGATATGGGACTAGATATTATTTAGCCTCACCCCTACTGATAATACTTTATAGAATGAAGCATAAATTATCTTTTACTTATACAGTTTAGATGGTTTTGAAAAAAAATGCATGTGGTTATTTAATTGTTATACATCCTAGAGCTAGTATTGGTTTCAACCAATAAACTGATAATTAATAATTGAAAATAAATCAGCATGAACCAATCTTTCCTAAATTAGGGAAATTGTCCCAATCGTCAGTCAAAAATTCTGCCCTGTATCCCATTTGGGATCTCCTGAATCCTGAAAATTCTGAACATAAAATGTATACATTAGTGATCAAATACTTCTGATTTTACTTATTTAACAGGGAGAAAAAGCCAAGCACATAAATACCCAGGAGATAGATTGTTCTTTAAAAATTTCAAGGACGAGAAGTTTTGGCTATCAATAAATTATTTAATGTGCTTCAGGTTGAGAGAGTATATATCTTCATATCGTATCACTATAAACAATCGGTAGAAAATACAGCTAAATTAAAATGCTGGCAAGCTTCATTCATTCACTTTTTAGAAAAACAAGTAAAACCTTCAAGCAAGATGTGTAGAAATTTGCTGCTATGCGATGACTTCAGTATTTCAGTCCATTTTATATTCTGTAACATGTGGCTTGGACTGTTTTTATGACCTATGTTTTATTTCCACATTAAGATCATCCAGATTTTAACAAAAGTAAGTTTGAAAAATCTCAGGTGGACTTTGCCAAAACCAGCGCTCAGAAGCATGATGCTTCCACGCACACGCACACAGGCACACTCCCACGTGATCCTCTAAAAAAGAGGATCATGGTTTTTCGCTAAAATCCAATTGTTCTTATTTTTAGGTTACAGGAGGGAAAAAGGTATGTGGGTGTGATGGCTGCAAATGTATTGCCAGCATCTTAACAGTTCATCATTCTTAAATGATAGAAGTGTAGCAGCACCCTTCTGAGAAAAATCTTTCCTGTGGATTTTACTTTGTCCGTGCCAGGACAAATTGCGTGCTAAGTTGGAATAATTCTGAGATGGAAGACACCTCCATGACTGTCCTTGGAATACTGAGGAGCTGCCATTCCTCTTCGGAAGATGAGGGGAGACTATCCCCTACCCTCTTAATTGATGATTTACTGTGCTCTCCCCTGGGGCCACAACCGATGATCTGTAAGCTTGTTGAATTTCGAAGCAAATACTAAATATAATCAATATATAAAAATAAAAAAAAGAGAGAGGAAAAAATGCAATGAAAATTTATGACCTTAACATTCCTTCAGGGTCAAGCAATTTATCAAATTCTCTCACTTTCTGGTTTCAATTACACAGCCATTGTGGAAGGAACTTATTTTAGCAGGTTCATTTGCCTCAGTGGGGAATACAGGACTTTGGCCTAATGCTTCACCTTTAGTGCAGGCCATTTGAGCCTTAGAACAAATACCAATCATCACTCTTTGGAAAAAAGAATCTGCATCGGCGTGGCCTATTGGAATGGGGTTTCTGTCAAGGTAAACGGTTGTCAGCAATGACTGTGGTAGAGTGGCGATAAATCCCATTTTATTGCTGAAAAATTCCAGCTTCACTCCATGCCTGACAGCTCCCACATTCTCATACCCATTTGGGCAATTTCTGCACTCTGTCCATCTGGTTCTCATTACCTCTCAACCTGCCTGCGTCTGATCCAGAAAAAGTGCAGGTCAGAAACAGGGGAAAAGAAACTGAGGTGATGGACAAAACAGAAAGCAGGGGGGTGGCCCTTGGAGGTCGGGGTAGAGGTGAGGGAACAACAGGAAAGGGGAGATCCCAGCTTAGGCTCGGACCAGTCGCTGGAAGGGGCTGCTTAGATATATTAGAGAAAGGTAATGACAGAACCTGAGCTGGGAGACCAGAGGAAACTGTAGCTTACATTCAGGCCTTTCAAAGGCACCTGCTTTGGGGTGGACGAGAGTGAAAGAATGTGGTAGGTATGGGTGGATGGGGACAGACTAAGGGACAGTCCATCCCATCCCATCTGTCAAGGCACTGTGTCACAGAGTAGAGGGCCTGGTCTAGAAGAGCGTCAAGTTCAGCAACAAACAACATGGGGCCTGGAGCCCCATGTACACAGCTGGTATGCTTCCAAATACGGGGATAAAACTCTGCTGGAGATTCAGTTTTGGTTCAAGAATATAATTTTTTTAGAAGAAGAAAACTCTAGGGCCACCAACAGCATTGTCTCCCTTCATTCTTCTAAGAAAATTAATATTTAAAAACAAATGTGTCCTAATAGGCACATTTATGGGATGGTTTATTCATGGAATGACAGGACTAGCAAGTGAGTTGCCTGGGTATTCATAACTCCAATGACATATATGGTCATTTTTTGGAGTTGCTGTGCGTTTATGCCTTTGGAAAGTTAGCCTCATTCTCTGAAGCTGAAATCCTTTTGATCATAATTGCTTCTGACCTAAAATTACCCACCGTCACCATAAGATGCCTCTTGGGGACAAAGAAATAAATACAGTAAATATCTGATAATAGATATAAATAATAAGCCCACGTAGACATTATCCTAAATTAGACTAGGATGAAACTGTATAACTATATATGTAAAAATATAAATTTTTCTTCTCATTTTGATGGGGTCATTATAGTTAATACTAAAATAAAATTTGGAAAGTATATCGAAGTACAAGGGATGAAATAAATAAAAATATTTTTATTCAACAAAAATATTAGAATCAGGTGAATGGTTAGATAGATGGTGGTTATTTCACCACTTGTTCTGAAGGCAATTTTGCAGTTTTGTCTTAAAACCAGGTATGATTGTGTATTCTTAAATATGTTGGAGAGCAGAGTCATTGCTACGATTTGCAGGCAGAATCTCTTATACTAGATATGTTTATACAGACAGTATGTCTTAGCGCTTTCTGGATCCCAGGGGTACAGAGAGCATTCCAGGACTGCAAAGTTCACTTTTTCACAGCCAGACCCCTAACTACTGCCATGCATATCTCAGTTTTATTGGTTGAATTCTAATATCAAGATGATGTGAAATTTTAGTTACTGAGCCAGATCTTGCAGATAAGAAATGCTGGCTTCCAATATTTAAGATTTAATTTCAAAATTTTCAAGTCATGCATGTGCAAGAGAATTTCTATAAAATGTAATTACCTGAAATTGTAAGTGAACTCCGCATGAGATATTTGAGTGGAAAAGGAGATCGTTTATAAAAATTTTAAGTTAAAATGACTAGACAATTTGGAGTGAAGTAAATTACAGATGATCAAAAACGGAAGTTTATTATTTGGCAACTTTAAAGTGAATACTTTTAGTCAACAAATACAGCTCTGAAACAGACATTTTCTTGTATGCATATTAAAAGGCATAAATTTTTGGCTACTATTACATATCCATTAAAATAACCATAATATATGACATCTCTAATTTGGAAAGGAATTGCAGGTTTTTAGCCAAAAAAGAATCTCATTTGAAGTTTACTTTTCTGGGCTGTACATATGTCAGAAAGATGCGATCATTGAAACTCCAAAGAATGTTTGTTTCTTTTAATAGCATAGCAGAAAATTAATGGCATGGGGGAGGGTGAAGTGACAATTTAACTTGATGCTTGATAGCTGTTTACTTATCACTTTGTGCCCAGATTTCAGTGTCCTGTAAAAGAAAGGGGGAAATAAAGAAGCCACAGCATTCATACGGCTTTTAGGGCACTTAAGACACATGGAGGAAAGTGCCTAGAAGGCTATTGAAATATTTGCAAAACAAATCATTTACATTTACCTTTTGTGTCTGTAAAACCCAGAGTGCCTACAAAGACAGAACCAACTTTAGCTGTAAGAAATATTTCAGCATCAAAATGGTTAATAGTATTATAGCTTCAAAAGAGCCTATTGGCTCACCCTCAAGGATGCCCTGCAGTTGTTGTTAAAGTCATCAGATGAAGCTAGCCTTCTCAGCTAGCTTTTAGATTTGTCTGCTAACAGTAAAAATACTATAATAAATCGGTAACATATGTTGCCAGGCAAGGAAAAGTGATATAAATAAAGAGACTAGGAGACCCAAACCAAGTACAATGTGAAAAGAATTTAACTTTCAACCTATTCGTTGGCTAATTAACATTCGAAAAGCAATTTGAAAGTGTAACTGTTATTTGCTTATATTCTTCCTCATTTTTTTTTTTTTTCTCTCTTCAGATTGCATTCTTACCCAAATACTCCTTCGTGATTGCCTGTTTTGCGGCTTTGGGGTAAGTCCCAGTTTTCCACAACCTTAAGAAAAAAAAAAAATGCATAACATAAAAGATGCCAAAAAGACTTATGTGTCCTGATGCATGGGTTTTGTGAAATATACATGGGTTTGTTGTTTGGGGGGGGCGGCTAATGAAATAAAGAGAAGGGGTTTGTTTCTGCAAGGATCCAAGAGTGTGTGAAAGTGTGCATTGCAAACGAGTCTCCCATCAGGAAAGCCACCTCTGGAATGGAAATGACAAAGCTTGGAACACACACAATCAATTATTTTCACTAGCATTTAAAATATAGAAAACAAAATCTGCTTTGGAAATTGACTGAATATTTTATTTAGCTTTTTTATTGAGACATCCTTTGAAAAATGGCATAATATAAATAGTTTTACAAAGCAACAATATAATCAATCTCTAGACTAGAATATAAATCAAGGATTTCATTAACTTCTGGTAGCCAGTTTGAATTGTAGTCGTGTCCATAATGCCTATCTATCTATGTATGTCCGAGTTATATTAAAAACCTTTAAATGGCTTTGTAATATCAGCTACATCTAGCTATTATAATAATTAATGGTACTGTTTTAAAAATCAATACATGTATTCTTGATAAATTCATATCCAGTTAATGGTGTAATTTAAATAAAAAATTAATGTAATAAAGGACATACAAAAACAGGCAGGAAATCTTTAAAGGTTAAGAGACAAATTTGTCTAAATTCATTTTTAACTTGTTTTGAAAAAGTTTGTTTAAAATCGGTGGAGATTTACCTTGTTTTTGTGAAACTAATCTTGTCATGTCTATTGGTATCTAGTATTGAATTTGTAAGATGTTTTCTTTTCTAACTGCTAAGCTTTAATTACATACTTATGATACTGTGGGATGTTTTACTACCATTGTACTCGTTTTTTTCAATAATTGAGTATTCTTTAGAAAAATAGAATAAAACAAACTAAAATCCTCAAACCATTCATTTATTTTCAATACATGAATGAAATGTAAATGCTTTATGTTTTTTTGGTATCACTAAATGAACTGTGCTGAAAATCCCCAAAGTCATATACAAATTTTATTTAGGGGGGGAAAAAGGACTGATTAGTTCAATGAATTTACATGTGTAAGAGCCAGAGTTTTTACTGCTTTCACTGAATGAACATCCTAGGAATTTTAGAAAGAAAAGAAAAATGCATTGACGAGTTCACAATGTATTTTAACGCTGCACATGGGTGGAGAAACATTCTACAAAGAGTGTATTATTGTTCTAATTTTAAAAATACACACCAAAGGCATATTAAGGAATAATGAGATTTAGAAAAAGAACTGAATGTTGTAGGTGATCAAATACAATCTTAAATCTTTCCAAATAAAATTTCATTTCGTTTATAGAGGAAGCATTTTACACAAAATATCTTTCAGAATTATGCAGACCAGTCTGCCCTGCCATTCTCGGTGACATGGTGCAGAATGTTACTTTAATCCACTGAGCTTTTTCTGACATTTTTCTTAACATTGCTGAGCCTTATTTAGAGCAGCAAAGGAGATGTGTGCAGTTTCATTTGACACTGATGGGTGTTTCAAAATGTTACAGGAGAGAGAGGGAGAGAGAGGAGAAAAGATTTGCTGCTAGTCATTTCATCAGTAGAGCTACAGGAGCAATTACTATTTGTTAAAAGTTTCTATTTCAAATGAAGCTAAATTTTAAAGAAGTCTCATCCCTTTAGAAGAGCTGACACTTGGAAGAGGAGGGGAGAGAATGCACATTAGTGATTACATGTTAAAGTGCGCTCAAGTACTGGAATCATTTAAAATGTATTGTGTTTTTAGATGAAACCTACAGCAAAACCACTCCTAAGAGGCTTAATTTAGGTTTTATAGGAAGAACATAAAAAAGACCAAGTTACAGCCACACACTGAAATATGGGGTACATTTAAAATATCTTCATTTAAAAACGTATGTTTATTTTCCCTCCTGGGATCACTAACGTGTGTCTCGACAGAGAAAGCGAGGACATGCTACATTCTTAAAAATTATCTGTTAAAGGGATCACATTCTAAGACAGGTTTGAGCATTTTTATGACTACAGATAACCTCTTAATTATGTCGCTGCCTTCCACTTGTTAATCAGGGGCATTCAGCACTCGTTAACCAGTGAGTGGTTGCCTTTAGAAACTACACTATTTTTAAGAATTAGAAACACTTTATTCCCATCATCATATTATCGCATGTATGATTTTAACACTGCTAGAAACTTACCTGCTTGAAATACCCAACACCAAAGACAAGGTCTAGATGCCTGTAACGATATTGTTAATTACTTCAAATTGTGCAGCTCATGAAAAGCTTTAAGAGATAGATAATTTTACTTTTCTTGTCCCCCCACCCCCGTGCCTCCCCTACCTCTCACACAATTCCTATTTGAACCAATTTTAGGTGTCTTCTGCCGCCACCAGCGTGTGAGATACTCAGAGACACTTTCAGAGAGCAAGGTATAAGTGGAGTAAATAAAATCATTTCACTATTGCTTTATCAACCCTCCTAGGTAGTTTTCCTGCCAGCCAACCTGCACTGTTAAAACCCATAAAATTATGCAATAGTGACTTCTTTGGAGGTTCTTTAATCAGATAATGGCCAGTGTTAGGAGGGAAGGGCCCAGGGCCATGTTGCTGGCACTTAACACTGGGCTTGGTCATTACGTGTCTGGTAGAGTAGCTGATTACTACCCTATAAGGAGCCAATATTTTTACATTTATCCTAGTTCTTTTTTCTTTTCTTTGCAACTTCTCATAATGGCAAGGATTTGTCAAGAAGACGTACGAGCAGTAACCTCACAGGCCCCTTAAAACTAAGAATCTTCCTAGCGTGAAATGATGCCTTTGGTGAAATGGTGAGAATGATTTTGGCTTTTACAAGAGCAGAGGTTTGATTACTTTAAAGCCCATTTCTTTCAGATGGGGAGACCCCCGGACACCATCCCTCACTCTCCTGTCCCCTTCTCTCTTCTGTGACAGGTTCACAGGCTGCAACCAAGGGGTTTTAAAATGCAAATATTTATATTTGAACTCTGGCAATAACAGAGTCATTTTGCTTCCTCCGTTAGCCTGTGAAAATTGATGCTGCGTACCTGGAACTACGTTTCATTTCTCTCTTTACACGTGAAGATATTATATAAATAAAAGATAATTTATGGAAAGGAAACAGCCATTTGAAATAATAATCCTAAATTTGACTGGGTAATCTTTTAAGGCTTTAAGAGTCAGAGATGCAGATTTCCACACTTTTAAAGAAAACTTGATTACAACCGGGAAATGTGTGCTTTTGAACACCTACTGAATTTGAATGCCGGCGTGGGTCAAAAAAGAAAAAAAGAGGGATAGAAGGAAGGCAGGAGAGAAAAAGGTGTGAATTTTACACAGGCTTTAAAGTAAGGTATTCAACCACATGTTTAGACTTCTTGTTACAATTTTATTGACTCTCTTTATACCTGAATATAATTTTTTCATAACCTATGTAAATTGCAAAACAGTGAGTCTTAGAAAATGCCTCTCTTGCCTGGGATCCTCATCTTAGTATGAACAGCACGATACCCAGAAGAAATGGACCCTAATTTCAGAACATCATACAAAGCCAGGCAATTCTTGAGCCAAACAAACAAAGGGGGTGTAAGCGATTTCATTTATTTTGATAATCCTCCCCCTGCACGGGAGCATTTTGCTGTCTTTGTCAAAGTGAATGACAACAATTTGGCCAACTCTCTCTGAGCTGCACTCAACAGTGACAGGCAAATTATCAGAGGCCCTGCACTTCTTATTATCAGAGGAGAAGCCATCAGGGGGACGCATGGAGGATACCTCTCCCTTGTCACTATTTGTCAGTGGGACAAGGGCCACTGCTATGGGTAGCTGACAGGTAATTTCAACAATAACAATTACTCCTATTACTGGTGTCATAAACAATTCGCCCAAGGCGTGACAATAGCAAAGCTTTATAATTCCATGCCATATAAATAAACGCCAGCAGGTAACAAGTAATTTAGCTCCAATCAAGCTTTCACCCTGGCATTAATATTGTTATTGCAAGAAAATGGAAAATTGAAAAAATTCAATATGTTAATGAATTAAGAGAGGTTCAAGGGCTAGACAAGAGGGGTTGAAAAAGGGAAACCAAAATTATTATGGTATCATATTTGGTGCCATGCTGAGGGCCAAACAGCAGTATAATTACTTTAAGATTAAGAAGGGGATCAAAAGTACTGTTTGCCTTAGACTTCAGACCTGGGGAAAACATGACACGGCCTTTCAAAATCCTCCTGTCTCTGATTTCTGAAGAACATAAGTAGAAATATAAGAATGTGTGTATAATGTAGCATCTCGCTAGCTTTTTTTTCCACCTGAAATCTTTCATCGGAAACAGAGGCATGAGTACCAGAGGAACATTTCCATCTGTTTAAGGAAATCGCATCAGCACCTGCTTCCTTTACATTAAGTCTCATACTGAAACTATTTTAATAAGCCTATTTTTATCTGTGCTGAAGGTAAAGCTGAGAACCCCTCTTTGCTCTCCAGCTGTCCACAGTTTGGAAGTGGGCTCGAGGATACAGTCCAATCTTCCTCCGTAAAACTTCCTGATCAAATGAATGTACAATTTCACTATTTGTCCGGCAAGACGATGTGTCATCATAGTGACAGCAATAAAAGAATTTGAAAATCTCTAATTAGGGGAGCTGCAGAGCAATTAACTAACGCATGTCAAATTTTACTTCATTAAGTGCCACTCTAATTTTCCCTCTAAAAATTAATGGATTTTTTTTTCCTTTTGGTATGTGTGTGTGTGTCCCCTTAAGGCAATGTTGATTCAAATCTGCTCAAGATGCAGTGTTGCACAGCTAAGCATCTTCTTGATTACAATCCGCCACACTTCTAACTGCGCTCATTCTCACTGCCACGGATACTTTGTCAACAGTCAAATTACACCACGCTGATAACAATGCATAATGGTCTTCCTCCTCCCAGGCCGCTGGCAGGAGATGGGGTTCATAAAAATGTGATGTTTTCTTCTCAACTGTTTCTTAAGGAAGTTTGTATGACCAGGTCACTAGTCAGGCGTTAATTTTTTGAAATGAATTCGTTAATTTCAAGAAAAGGAGTGAAATGATGGCGTACCAAAATACCTCATTGAAAAAAAGAATCAGGAGACGAATAAGGAATTGAAAATATCTAGAGCCAAAGTTTTGCTTAAACACTTTGTTCAGAGACATTTTCAAGAGCACTATTCTTGGTTAAATACCAGGGTTTTTTTTTTTTTTTTTTTTCCCTTTACTTATGGGCTATAAACATTGGAAGCCTCTCTCGAACAGACAGTATTTAGATTATGAGAGAAGTTTGTTTAACTGACATATTTGCCAGAATCCTCAAAACATCACAGGACATGGAAGACAGATGACTTTTTTTTAGGTCAAGACTGTATATTCCAGATAAATGTTGATTCATTTTAACTATTTTTTATCCTAGTTGCTTGTTGCAGATCTGTGTGTCTGAGTCATCAGCCCATGAGAGGAATATTTCTCACTGAAAAATGAAAGAGACACAGCGATTAGATGATCTTACAGTCTTTTTAGAGATCATTCACATTTTATATGTCTAAAACATGATCAGATCCAGAACAAAAAGGGGGAAATTAAACAAAATGCTCAGTGTATCTGTTTGCAGATTCTTCAGGGAGTAGAGAACATTCACATGGATGACATCCCAGTTTTCTCATCATGTAAGTATATTTTTGGTTATATGTTTTCTTTAAACATATTTATTCAGTAAAAAATTAAATTCATGGAATATACACTTCTTTTTTTTTTTTAATTCACAGGTTGAGTCCAGATTTTCATTCACTGACAACTAACTCAAAAATCTAAAATTTGATATTTTGAGGTTTGTATTTCCTAATATCAAAAATTCCTTCCTTCTCGTAAGGCATGTTCTTAAGTGGTCTATTTCAAACAAAAGAAAATGACATTCCCCTTTCAGCTAGCAAATGTTAGATTCTCTCAAAGTCGATTGGGGGCTCACTTGGAAGTTTTGCCATTAGAGACACACAAATCGAATTATTTTCATCTCTCCCAAATATCATTCTTCGAACTTTATAAATATAGCAATACTAGGTTTAGCATTTCGTGAGGCTTGTTTACAGATAAAGGTATCTCGATAAAAAAAACCAAGCTCTGTGTACTTTGAAAAGACCAAAACCTGGAACAATCTCATATTAAAACATTACCAAAGGATTGTAAAGGGAAATTTAAAGGGAGAAAACTTGATTATATAATGCAATCCAGCAGTAATCAATTTTACCTTCAATATCTTGCTTTTGTTTTCCAAATGCTAAGTAAACAATACATAATGCATCCCTCATCAGCCAAACCATGGAGGCTCTGTGCTCAAATAACAGGAAACATATTCAATTTTCCTAACAGAAGACAGTTCATTAAGCTGTGCCACATCAAATAAAACTTTAATTTCTCCGGCATCAGAGTCGCAATGAAAGCAATTGAAGAAGATGAGCCATATGGTACTTCTATCAGCAAACACATATTGCTCATTCCCCCAAAGTTTTCTAATTCTGCTCCCCAGACCTGCGTAATATAGATAATGTGCTCCGAGAGCAGCAACCATGAGCTATCTAGTGTACACTTCTAATACTGTATTTAATGGGAAATAATGAATCATAAAAGCCTAGAGAAGACGTCTTTTGCTAACCTAAATCTCAGCTGTAATTTCATTGTTCTGTGCCTAAGATGCTGTTTGCCCTTTCCAAACAACAGCAGTTGAGCATAATTATGCTGCTTCAAACCTGGGCTGGCAAAAGCATCCCTAATAGAACCAAGTTTCTATTAACTCCTGAATTTCTGAATTTGATGATGCACTGATGCAGACATGGAGATAACCAAGCATGTGTCATTTTAAAACCCAAAGAAGCGTTTTCTCCTTCTGCTCTTTAGTCAGACTGCTCAATGCTTTTATATTCACTCCCTCCTCCCCACCCCCTCTCACCCCTACCCGTGCAACAGGAGTGGCATGATTAAAAATGAGGAGATTTTCTTGTTATTAGCAAATTTGACATTTGTCTGATGAAATGCACATAAAATGTGAAAGCTACACAGTGCTCAGAAGAAATGTCTCCGCTCCAATCCAGGCTACCAAGATGAAATAATTTAGGTAAAGCAAATGTAAAGATCCTCGTACATCTTTACTCAGAATGCTAGGATTGGATTATAAATGAAAGAACCAAATATTGCTGAGCTTTTAGAGCGATGGTATTTTGACACATGGGAAGCGTCTAGTGTTTCATCTCTCACCTTAACTGCCTTGATTATTAACCTAAACATCATACATATGCTCAAATGCAGCAATTTCTCTGTCCTGGGTCCAGCCTGTCTTCTGGCAAGAGATTGGGGTTGGGGCTTAATTCCTTTTTAGAGAAAAAAAAAAATTCTTTTCCCCCCAAATAGCTTAATGATTTTAGCTTTTCCATTTTTAAAGCTCATCAAATCAATATTTTCCCAACACAACGCTCATTTAAAACACCATCAGATAACACTGCGGATACATATTGAAAACGTATTTTAATGGTTTTGTTTGTTTTGGCAGCAAACTAACCAAGGACGATTAAATTAAAAAGAGACTTTTAAAAGTTAGAGATTGCCTTTTTAACGCTTATTAAAATCAGCATGTTACATGCCTGTCTTTGAATTAGCTCTACACACTTGATTGCCATCATTAAAACTAGTTGTTTGGGTGCTGGTCTGTGATGGCTCAAACCCTTCCTCAAAGCCAATTCTTACTAGTTATTAACTTGACGTCTCTTTTCATTGAAATTAAAAAGAAAAAAATCATTCTGGCCCGTGGAAGAAACAGTCACCAAAACGTGAAATAGCTCAGCGAGACAGCAGTATGAAACTATGAAAAGACCAACAGGTAAAAGAACTACAGTCACATCTAAAACATATTCAGGAAAAAAAAATCACAACGACAACACAGAAGCAGTCCATTGATTATATTTCATGAATGCCTTAAAACAAATGTTTAAACAGTTTTCTGAAACAGTGCAGAAAACCCCTGCATGCTCCACTGGCTTGCAATGACAATGGCCTATTGCAATGTAAAACACGCTGGAGAATAAAAAGGTGCTTTTTGTTACCATTTTATCAAAGCTGTTCATCTTGGAGCTGCAGGCAGCATTTTGCTGGAATTGCAGATATTTCTCTGTCCAGGCTCTTTTGTTTGTGCATCTCATTTGCATATATTTATCTCCAGCTGAGGGTGCTTTCTGCTCATTAAGGCCTCCCCATTATTTCATAAGCCAGCTGCTAAGAGGGATTTCACCTGTGGTGACTGAGAAAAGAGGGGTGAAAAACTAAATTCTTCATAAAAAGGAAATCTTCTGAGTCTCTTCCCCTATAAATGGGCACCATTTGTGTTAAACAGCCTCTTGTCATGATAGATGCCTCCGGAGGTCAGGGGTTAAAGTTGATTGGAAGGTCAGCAGTAAAACAACAGACAAACCAGACGCCAAACTGGTTCCTTAGCTGTCGGTGGGAGCTGTGGTGCAAACAGGTCTTGAACCTTTTTCAACCTCTAATAAAACAGGGGATGAATCTGAAGTGGATCAACCAGGCCCCTGAGGCAGCAGCACAGAAAAACACAAATAATATCGATATCAGGCAGCCACAGGAAACAATGGGGCATTTCTCCCTGCTACGTGCATACTGCTATTGTTTCAAGGGCTGGGGAATTAATTCCACTTATTTATTTAAGGCGTGTCAACTCACTGCCTAAACCTGTTTCAGTGTCAAGATGAATAAAACTTTTATGGCTCATAAAATAGAGCCATTCATCTCAATGCTCTTTGTGGTGCGGGTTTTTTTTTTTTTTCTGGCACACTGAGCTAGGCCTCTGCTCCTAGATGGTTACATCTGAACTGTTGCTATGATCCACACCATATTAGAGAACAAAATGATTTCACCGGCAAATGGATCTCAAAAGAAATGACACAGGATGGCATTTTAGCTGCGATATAATAGTCCCCAAGTTCCTCTGAAATCCTCATCATGCACTTGTATCTGTTTTGAGCATGCGTTATTGACAAAGCAGAAGTTTTGTTATTTTAGAGGAAAGTTAAAAAATGCTAACAAGAAAAAGTTAGTTTTCTGGAATATCATGCATTTCATTTGACTTTAGAAATGCAACCTGGTTAGGGTACCTGTTTCCCATTCAGCACCTTTAGCCCAAGTTTTCACTGCTGTGTACTCAGTTTGCCCTGACGGAATAATTCAGATGCCTTCTTTAGCTCCACAGCTTTGAATTTTATGTTTGATTTTGAACAGAAAATGCCAAATATAAATATAAATGGAAAAGAAAATGCATTTCAGCGCATTTTTGCATTATACATTTTTCAGAGTTCAGTTGTAGAATCAATTTTACTTTGGATTTCCTACTGATGACTTTAATAATAATATAATACTAATAAACAAGTTAACATTTATGAAGTGCCACACACAGTGCTGAGCACACACATGTTCTCATGCAGTTGTTAGTGATAATTCAGTCCAAGCCACAGAAACCCATTTAGAATAATAATGATACTCTTCAGTACCCAGACCATACCTTAGAAAACAAAAAAAATTCCAATCAAACAATATCATTCTAGCAGATGCTTTAACAGGGAACATCATGGGAACCAGATTGCTTTATATTAAGATGAGCAAGAAGAAACAACTCCATGGCATTTCACAAATTCTCCAATCACGGGTCAAATCTCACACATCACAGCTCTTTGCTCTGTTGCAATGTAAATTGATTTGTGGGTGATTCACTTACTCTGTTGTCCCAGGTGCTTTGCTTTTGAGATCTCCAGTGAATATTGTAGCCTTTACTTATGATGCCGGGTTATTTCTAATTTAGTCAGTCGGCAGGTCAGTTTTTCCACGTGAATTCAAGTTTTTCCAGCAAGTAGATTATTTGAGGATAGCCCAAACAGAAGTTGTGCTTTCACATTTTGCTCATGGGTGAAGATGTGGCCCTGGGGAAAGAGGGGTTCGGTTTCTGGGTGCCAAGCACTGCTTAAGATTCAGCTGCTCTTTCTTTCCCATTTGAACTGGTGCGTGTACCAGAGCTCTGCATAGGGGTGGTCCCTTTACCAAGCAGCCCTGTTTGAAAGTGGAATTGCTTTCAAGTGGCCACCAGACCCTGAGAAAAATATTTCAACTCAAAATTGATTAGGTTTTGGTAATCTATGGCAATGTGTTCTCATTTAAGCACGGAACAGGAGATTTTTCTTCTATAACCCATTACAGTTTAAAAAACGCAAGAAGTCTTGCTACACACAAGACGTTCAACTTGTGGTTGGAGAAATTTTCCAACTTATTAAATGTTGTTTATATCCTCCTCTTTGTACACCGTCTGCCTTCCCAGAGCTCCCTCTGTATCCGAGTTACCAACTTTCTTTCGGACCTTTCACATTAAATTTAACCCCACTCCCATCTGGCAACCTAGACCCTCCAAGTGACTAGAGCAAAAATACACAGTTTACTCCCCCCCAAGTCTGCACTCTCGTCCCTCGTTTTTCTTTTGCTCTAATCTAATCACTAATTCTTAAGCTTGGCCAAATAGTTAAAAATGTTAAGTGCTAGCAAGGCCTTCTACCTCCCCCTCATATCTGTCTCTGTTTATGGAATGGGCTCAGTTTCCTCCTCTTCTCCTTCGGCCTGGGGTCTTCGGGTCAGAACACTGTAAATACACACAGCTCTGGCTCGACCCATAAATCTGAGCAAAGGGCAGGCTTATATATTCAGATAAGCACGGGTTGGGGCGGGAACATGGAAGGAGAGCGAACCAGCAGAATCTGACGCTCTGCAGCAATGTTCAGAAAAGAGAAGTGAAAAGGCCAGGAATCTTTAGTGGGGAGGGAAAAAGATTTTTATCTCGAAACATCTCTCCTTATTTCTAAAGGATGAGGTTGGCACTGCTTCCTCTTCTTCTTTTTTTTTTTTTTCAATTTTTTACTTTTTCCACATTGCTTATACTCACATCCTTACTGAACACATTATCTTAGAGGCAATCAAATTAAACAATAAATTTCATTTATTTCCAATGTCCTTTTTCCTTTTTAAGTGTATTGGCTTGTGTTTTGAACTTTGTATATGTGGGGGTGTGTGTGTGTGTGTGTGTGTGTAATGTGAATTAGAGTCCTTTTCCCAGAAATTCTCTTCTTCTGGAATTTTTCAAACCTAAGGTCGTTGCCTAAATAACCACGTTGTTAGTCACCACATTGAATCCCAAAATAAAACACGGCTGAAGGAGCTGGGAATGACAAAGTGATACATAAATGCTTACATAGCCTTCGGTCTTTAAAGCTTCTACTTGATTTCCAAGTTCAAGTCTTTTCTGTTGGGTTTTCAGATCTCAAGATTTTCTGTGACTCCTGAAATACCGCCCTTCTTGGGAGATGTGCCCCTTGTGGACATAGATACTGTCGCAATGGAAAATCTTGAGCCAGGTGACCATGGCTGAAAGTGTACTTTCTACCATTCATCTGCCCTGACTCTGCCTTAGGGGCCATGAGCCACCCCATGAATTTGCCTCAGTCGCTTAAGAATCTAGGAAATGTGACACTTGCTTTGTTTTCAATCCAGGTTTTATATTTTATCATACACATATATACAATTTTTAATCTCATTTCTCTAGGTTATTCTTTTGGCAAATAGAGAACTCATATTCCTCAAAAGGACCTTCTTTTCTTGGGTTGAGATATTCGTGACAATTCCATGTAGGTAAGAGAATTTTATGGGAAAAACTGCCAAGAGGGTAACGGCGCTGGCTGCCCAGACCGTTTTCTATGTTCTCGCCTCACCTTCGACAAATAGAAATGATAATAATAATGATCACCATTTACTGAACACTTACTTTTGGAAAGCAATGTGCCAGGTGCTTTATATGCATATTAATTTAAATCCTTATAACAGTGTGACACATGAAGTATTATAGTCTCCATTAATGAATGAAAAACTCTGGTTGGAAAAGTGAAGAAACGTCTCCCAGAACGTACATTTAAGCTTAGCATTTGAACGTGAGTCTGGCTCTAGAGCTCTGTCTTCTGAACTGCCTCTCAGGGCCTCAGGTTCTGCGTCTTCAGGATGTGGGTCTTGGGTGGAACGGAGTCTATTTAGCAGGGTATTCCATGTCTGGGTTGACTTTCTCTGCCCACACCTCTCCTGAAGCTTAGTCCTGGCATTTTCAACAGCCCTCTGGTGTCATGGCCTGGCTCTCACAGACCTCCTGCACTCATGTCTGAAATGGAATTCATCGATTCCTCACCCAACCTGCTTCTTCTCTGTGATCCACGTAGTGTCCTCTGGGAGCACCGTCCAGTCTGCTCTGTAGTTCAAGCTCAAGGCTCTGCCAGCTAGCTCTCTCCCTTCTCACCTGCCATGATCATCAGCCGACCTGGCAGAGCAGAGACACGTGCAGGAGACATTACTGTCCCACTACCTGGGTTTGAATTTGGCTCCCCTATTTACCAGCTATGCAGCATTGGACAAGGTGTTATATTCCTCTGTGCCTTGATTTTCTCATCTGTAAAATGGGGTCCAAAATACTACTTGTTTCATAAGGTTCAGTCTCCTGGTATCGTTTGACTGAATTGTTAAAATAACCTTCAGACTCGCTTCACCAGAGTTGTCATTATAAAATAATAGCCATGATACCCTCCTGCTTAAAAAATCTTTACTTCCCTGTTGCCTCCAGGCCTAACTATGGAGTTAGGCAAAGGCCTTCATAATCTCCTGCCACTGGCCTTTCCAGGATCATTTTCCACCATGTCCCCCTAAGCAATTTGTGCCCTGGCAGCAAAAATTATACACGTGGTACGCTTTTGTGCCTCCACACTTTTGACCGTGCTGTGCCCTCTACCAGAAATGCCCTTCCTTTCCGTTTCTGCCTAGTGATGGGCACTTATCTTGTATGGCTCAGTTCAAAAGTCACCTATTTTTTAGGGCAGCGTAAATTGAGTCAGTCACTTGTAGAGTGTATTCCTCTGTTTTAGAACCTAACACGTTGAATGGTAATTATATGCACTGTCATTATATGCACTGTAACCAGTAGGCTGGGGACTCCTGTGGGCAGAGACTGTGCGTTTTCCAACTTGATATGTTTTGTTCTAGAACCTCATATATAGTGGGAGCCCCCAAATTTTGATTAATATATAAAATGTTATTCCTCACTCTAAAAAATTACTTAAAGTAAATAAATGTGTATCAAATGCCTGTAATGTGTTAACTAGTTGAATTAAATCTTGTTAGCTTGAGATGAGAAAGACAGTGAACTTGTAACAAAATTAAATTAAAAACTCAAGAGCATTTAGGAGTTTGGGATTAACAGATTCACACTATGATATATAAAATAGATAAACCACAAGATATAGCACAGGGAACTATATTCAATATCTTATAATAACCTATAAGGGGAAAGAATCTGAAAAAGTTTATATATATATACACATATACATATATATATAAATAAAACTGAATCACTTTGCTGTAAATCTGAAACTAATACAATATTGTAAATCAACTATACTTCAATTAAAAAAACCTCAAACACCACTGAATTGTTCTTACTGTCTCCAAGATGAAGCCATCATATTTTTTCCTAGTACACATGTTAAATGTTACATTTTTTGACACCTTAGGAAAATCTGATAATGGAAATTCTTTAGAATATCAGTGAAGTCTCTATATTTTATATATTTCATTAGAAAAAGAGCCAGTTTTTTCCTTATGTGCCTTTACTCTAAGCATAATACTTCATGGGAGGCAGTATATGAGTGATTACGACCATAGGCTTGGAAGCTAGAATGCCTGGGTTTAAGTCCTGGCACTGCCACCTCCAAGCTGTGTAATTGTTGGGAACAGTTTTCTCAAAGCCTGTTCTCTTACCTGTAAAATAGGCATCATAGTAACATCTACCACAGAGGGTGTTTTGAGCATCCAATGAGTTAGTGCATCTAAACACTTAGATGAATGCCTGACTTACAGTAAATGCTCAATAAATATGCCCTGTTATCCAGTTGGTGTTTACAGGAGAGTCGCCTGGAATCCTAGTAGAAAGGCGAGGTCTATTTCATTGTCAGGGCACAGTGCAGAGAGGCGGGAGAACCTGGAGAGATGGTGAATTGGCCCATTCACCCGTGCAAGGACTAGGTATCCATTCAGACATCATTTCAACACATAAGCAATTTAATGTTTCATTTTGTCATTGACACATGGAGCTAAATCTAGGAACAAACCCAGATTTTAAGTTAGCAGTTAGGACAGTTGGCTGTAGAATCATTCTGCCTGGGTTCAAATCCTAGCTCTATGACATACTGGTTGTGTGAACTTGGGAAAATGTTTTTATTTCTATAAGTTTAAGCTTTCTCAT